GCAAAAGAACTAAATACAAATAGTAGCGAATATAAATACTCTCTGAAAATGTATACACACACACACAGAGCTGCATAAAAGAAATTTATGTTATTTGTTCATGTTCATTTGTTTATGAGATATTTCCATAATATTTGAACATTTGCAACATGAAAGGACATTTATTCAGATCTGTCTACCATATTTCCGGTGGTACAGTGAATGTGTGCCTTATGTAACCAAAATGTAAAACAGGAATGTAGGGACACACACTGAGATAAAGAGGAGAATTCTGCATTAGCATTTTATCAAATTTCTGGTATTTATATTATACTCAATTATATTTGATATCATTGTCTACAGTACTCATTGTGTTGCCTGTGGTAAGTAGTATATATAAAAGGCTAGATTCCCATTTAAAAAATGTATATGAATTACATTCCTAAGAGACTACAATACAGTTTTATTATGCCTTCCAAATTTATATAGATATATAGACCTTCACATATGTGTAACTTACTTTTCCTCCTTGAAAATTATTCATTATAGTGGCAATAATTTGGATGTCTTATTTATTAGATTGCATTCCATGCATTTTCATAGTGTTATTATAAACAATATTAAGTTATTCCAAGTAATCCTCAGATACAACCAATTTAAAATCCTTTTCTTTGTTGTACATTGTAAAGAACGTCACGAACTCCCTCGTAATTAATAAGGAATATTATTTTCTTAAATAATATCTTATGTAATTCACACAACAGAAAACAAAAATATTAAAATCACTCTACATTGCACCATATCCATACAATTATATAAACTTTGTTGTTTTCCAACCATATCGACATAAAAAAAAGTTTCAATACCAAATAAACGATTGGAGATTGGGAACCAGAATTCAAGATTAGGAAACAGAATGCAAAAAAGGAAAAAAAATGGAGGGACTATGTTTGCCGAACGGGGACAATTCCCCAACTAAATGTTAAAAAAGCCCTGTTCTAATGTATCTAATACCACAATAAATGTTGCATTACAAAGAAGTGCAAGGATGTCTACAGAAAGATACAAGCAGTTATACATTTTTTGCAAAGTAATTACTATTTATCATCTCTTTCATATATTTTTTTTTTCAAAAAATCGATAAAAGATGTTCAAGTTTACTGAACAAATAAAGTATCTGCCCTGGCAAGATTCAACATGTCACTGACATCGAAATAACACGTCAATTACAAGAGCCAAAAATGACTGTGCTTTGCCTTGGCAACTAGTTCCTCTTTGTCATTCAGACAATTCAGAGCATGATTCTTCAAACAATATATATTTAGCCTGTTTTATTCTGAAGAAATATTTTTCAAGAGGGCCCAAAATATCAACCGTGTAATTCTGTATAAGTCAAGTTAATTGTTACTTCACCTACTAGTGAGCCCAAAGTGACTATCGCCTGGTTTATGGATTTATCTGAATTGTGCAAAAGCGATACTTCTTTGGTGATATGAGGAAGTATTACTAAAGCATCATCGATTACGTTTATACATAGATTTCAACATAAATGGAATATCTGTGGTTAGGGAAATGTTCGCTTGGAAACAATACAGCAATATTAGGAAAACTGTAGGACAAACCATTGTTTTCACTAATAATACAGCATTGTTTGAATAGTAACGTTTCTTTTCTCATGGATATTCAAAAAGGTTGAAATGTGTGTATATATGCAACAAATAATGCTTCGATACCAGTATCACATGAAATTTGTCATTTCATATGCTCTCCAAAAACAAGCGAAATTTTCTTTACACTGATGTAGTATGAAAATATGATTGCGATTTACGCATTTTAAGGCATACATACTCGCATTGCTATGCCTGTTTTACTACACATTTCCGTACATCATATTGTAAGACAGTGGCATTCCGTACAAGTAAAACTGAGCTGAAAAAAATGTTGTGTCTTCTGTCTATTATGTTGTAATTTTTACAAAGGCGGACGCGGATTGGATATTTTTCAGGAAGACAGTGCTTCGGATAAGTCCATCCTACTTTCTCTTTCGGTCTTGTATGCCAGATACAGTTCTCAAAATATATGCCTCTTCGCTAAAAAAAATAAAAGGGAGAAAATCTAAAAAAAAAAATCTTAGATATTTGCTGAACACTGCCTCTGGTGTGTTTCTATCCTTATTGCCTTCTTGAGAATGGCGAGCGTAAAGGAGGATGGATGGCTCTCTTTTGCTTCATTCGGTTTATTCTTCAGCAGCGAATGGATTTTGACATATGAATGCCTTGACAATTCCGTGTATTTTCCAGCACTGTTTTTATTTTAAGTGACGATTTTGCCGATACTCCAAGGCTTGCTCATCAATCTCGTCCATCACTGCTTGTTTAACAAGTCTCATCGCTATCAACTGTATGTCATTGTCATTGCCAACAAGAAGTTCTCTGGGCGGGAGAAGCTATTGCTAGCAAGCACAGGGCGAATGATAGCCAGTGGCAACTCTTGAGGGAGTTCAACCATGAAAAAAGACATTTTGGGTGCCATCCTGACATGAGGTTTTGGTTCGAACGGGAGCATCGTAGTTCACGAACTTGCGATGTTGCCCCTCTGGCATGCAAGTTGCAATACGCGATTAGCTTTCATAAGCCACCTGGCATTATTAAGCAGTCCAGGTTGGTCAGATGGTACTGACCCTTCAGATCACTTATAACTTATAACTAACTTCAGGTTCTTCCAGTAATAAGCCCGTAGCCAGCAGCAAGGAGGACTTTTGAGTCAAATTTAGGAGACTGGCTTACTTATGTGCAGCCTTTTGAACCTTTTGAAAAATTATTTCAAATAGATGCAACAAATAAACAAGCCACTGTCTGCCCAATGCTCCGAGCTCACAGATTACCCCATTTTCTTCCTATTATTAACAATTGTCCCATCACATATGATAGCATGCACTGAATCTGTTGGTTATATTTTCGCCGTTCCATTCTCGGGAAATACGTTGTCACCGTAAACGACACCAGAAGTAAATAAACCCACTTGGTGTTTTTCCTTTACGATTCTCTGATTCCTTGATTTTCTTGGACATCTAAGCAAACTTTCCTTCGAAACCGAAACAAATGCCAATTTGCAAACACAAAAATAAAAGTTGTTGGAGTGCCATTGTCTCATCTCCTAAAAATAGTTTGGGTCACATACTCAAAGGGTATGAGAACCAAATGTTGCGGGAATGGGAAGAAGTGTGGGTTGTGGCTGCTACACTCCCAGTTCCCAAAACATACATTCAGATTCTTCTCAGCGAAGTTCCAGACTAAGAAATACATATTTCTTTGAATGGCCACTACCTTTATACCTAATGAATATATTAAGACATTTCTTAAGGTATCTTATAATGACTAGAAAGAAAAAATCACTCATCGCATGCGAGTCAAGTACAAGTAAATGACCATCTTCTGGAAGAAACAACGAAGTTCGTCATTTTAAGGGGACACATTTATTCATTTAACATGATATGGTCATCATTAGCAATTTCTGTTATGCCACACGGTCCCAATATTTGTAATCCGATTTCTTTTATCACTGCGACTGAAAATGGTATGTGTATGGTTCACTAATACATGCATCGCAATAAAGAAAAATTCTACTTTGCAGTTTGCCTGCAACAATGTGGTCTCCAGAAAAAAATACAGCGAATGAGCCTGTAACAGCCCCTCCGACGATGAACACGACTGCTTTGAAACGCTCCGCTGCCCTCGAAGATAACCAGGTTTATAAGCATATTGTTATTGTTTCAGAAAACTGGAAATATCTCCGCCTCATGACACCAAAGGGAGTGTTTAAAAGACTCTATCGAGGAAAGGAAATAAAATTATTAAATAAAAGAGATAGATTAAAAAAAAAAAAAAATAGTAAGATAAAAACGGTGAACTAGAATCCTCATTCGTAGAATTGGACTCTGCAGGTGTTGTATAGTGAGCAAATTTTATGCTCGAGAAATTAAAATCGAAAATCTAACAGAAATGTGCTATAAATTATCTACCGAAAATCAATCCATGGCGAATAGGTAAATCAGTAAGAAATTTACCGAGAGTACAGGCGCGTTGAGACTACGTATATACAAACTAGAAAACACGTGGTAGCAGTCTCATGGGAAGGACGTCAACTCGTTTATTCAGGAGAGCCAATGGAAATATGAGCACATTCGTTCATTCGTTAAAATTTAGTTAATAAGGAGAAGCATTCCTAAATGTGAGGAGAGGAAGGAAAGCTAAAGGTAGCTAGCTACTTTTTTTTGGGGGGGATGAGCAACAAAGGGGAGAGATACCCCTTGGAGCACATCGTATGCGGACCACATTGTATAAACATGTAACACGTAACAAAATCTTGTTTTAATTGTTTTAACATATCAATGTATACATAATACACAAAAAGGCAATAAACCATTCATAAACTAAGAGCGAAACAGATTTTCTTGGCTAGAGCAGCAAAAAGGCCGTATGGTACGGGAATACAATTGTACACACACATTTTAAAGCACACGTACATACTCTCGTTCATTTAATTCTTGTGCGATAATGATTCTGTCTTCGTCATCGAGGCACAGTTTCTGATGAAAGTTACAAGCGGAACTGATATTAAAAATTCAAATACATACCTCTTTTATATCATATTACTGTACCACATTGTTGATTTATTACATTTTATAATTATATAATTATACATATTACTTTAACATATACTGTTGTGTATTATACATTACATCGTATTTTTTATTATTATTTCGGGGAAAAGAAGGCACTTCTAGCCGTATCCAAACCCCAAACAAGAACTTTCATCTTTTAAAAGTTAGACAAATGCTTTTAAATACATTTATGTCATTTGAAAAATACATGCTCAATAAAAGTATTAAAAAAAAGTAACATTTTAATTTTGTTGAATATAGATAAACCCATGCTATTAGTATTGCCAAAATAGCACGTTCTTAGCCCTCCTCCCTTTGATGAAGGTGCACGCCCTCGCACGCCGACACGGGAGAGAGAGAGTCCAGCGTGAGAAGATGCACGAAAATTTATTCGCCCAAAAACTCGCCGACAATGACAAGAAAAATAGAGATAGAGCTATTAAGACGCTTAGGAAATATTTTTCTGCGAGATCTACCGTGAAAAGAAGGGGTAAGGATGAACATGTCGACTTTTCTTCTAAATATTAACAGGATAATAGACCACGATGCAGGTCTTTTACGATTTCCAGAAAGTGTGATTGAAATGCATTTGTGTTTACCATGCCAAGTACACAAAATGTTAATATATCAACGAAGTGTGTACCGAATTAAATAGCATGTTGTTGGAAAGACATTACGATGTCATTAAACGAGACCGTTACCTTACTCCAGCCAAGATTGCGGAATTCCTGGGAACCCGAACATTACCCGATTCACCCAAAATCTTCCTAACCCCAAGGACTTAGTTTTCATGCTGTGTGAACTGGAACTAGCTCATCAGTGCATGACAAGATAGAAGTCTCCAGCACGGGCCATAGTTTAGCTTTGGCATGTTAAGCAATAACCTAGGAGTGAGTGAGCTAACAATTGCAAAAATATAATAACACTGCATAATCAAACCCTACCATTTCCCAATTGCAGTTTGTGCCCTTCCCTTCTGTTGGGCTTTGTACTTTATTGTTCAATAGATTTTAAGACTGTTTCTAGAAACAACGTAACTATTTACTGTAAAGTAATACGATGTCTGTTGATTAGTTGTATGGATGGCCCTGTCGCATCAGATTTGTCTGACACTGTCTCCTGATGTAAATACATGAAGGATTCTTCATTTTCCTGGTGGGGATTGGGTGTGATAACCCCCCAGGAGGGGAGTCACATAGCAAGCACAGCCCCCTGCATTAGACAATATATGACTGCCAGGATGCATTCTGTGTAAAACTCACGCCAGAGGTATGCCAATAGCTCATCAAGTGTACGCCAACATTCCCAACAATAGTAATTTTTGATAAAGTATGACGCCAAGTGCAATCACATTCTCTCAAAAACTCCAAGACATGGCGGCACTTTTGAAAACTATGGAAGTGCACCCTGGAGTGACTGATATGGTACTGTGTTTACAGCAGAATTCAAGAATTCCACATTGTGCACATGCAACTGAAACTCCAGGAAAGATAGTAAACATCACAATACAGTACTGTAAACAGCCACGGTCTTCTAGAAATGGTACATATTCAGAAGACCTTCACCCAAGTGCTCAGGAAAATAGTAAAGATGGATTCTTCTCAGTACTACATGCATGTTGAACTTTTGTCACTGAAACTTGCCAAACCCCCACATTCGTGACCTTGTTAGTTATCCTGCATTTGAGTATAGGGTGACCAATTCATTGTATATCATTTATATTTTGCCCAGTATATCTCTGGTACGTCTCATGCATTCCCCTGCTATCGGTACCAAGCTTTTAGGTTTTGAGAGTTCCATGGGATAGTTTTATACATAGGCCTATGGGTAGTAGATTGCATCGATACCACTATTGTCATGATCATCTCCATTCTTGGTAATTCTTTACAGTATGGACACATTTGCCAGACCCCAACTCTGTCAAAACTTTATCCAGTAATCAAAACTGCCATGACTGGACAAGGGGAGGATTGGTGGGGCTCTGCCACCCAACACCTGGCAAACATTGTTTTCACTTCAGCTGGAATTTGGAAGAACTGAGTGGACTTAGGCTCCTTTCTGCAATCTTTTTCAAATATTTATGGCATAATCGTTTGTGTCTGCAGATTATTTCTTGTATCAACAACTATAACTTTTCATCCCCTACTTACCTATCATCTTCAATTCGAGCCAGTAGTCAGAGCGCAGGCATTTTTACAACCTCCACGACAGGGAATTGAATTCGGGACCATGAGGGTTGGAGTCCACTGGACCTTCACAGCAGTCTTCATGTCTTTCAGCCCCAGGCGGGGGTTTTGAACCTGCAACTGCGTATTCAGCCCTGCAGTTGCGGCTCCGAACAGGGGCTATATATATATACTTGTATATATGTTTTCACCATTTGAAATAATTATGGTATATACAGGTTCTCTCTCTTGCAGGTTTCACTCATGATGAGATGATGAAAATATGGAAAGGTCTATTCTACTGCATGTATATGGCAGACAAACCACTCATTCAGGTAACTGTGCAGTACAGACTGTTTTTAAATGTTTGAACTCCCATTAGTTATACTTTCACTACCCAAATTTTGTAGTCTTGCTCTTTATAATGTATATTATGAATACTATACAAATATATGTGTATGTATAAGTGTAACACTAGTATAAAATTTGAAATAATTGTTGTTCATGATTGATGGTAATTAATCTGATATGCTAGATAGAGAGACAAAAGAAATCTTTCATTTCAGGAGGACCTGGCCGAAAGTATAAGTGCTTTGATACACAGGTTTGGAAACGTAGAGGACCGCCATAATTTTGCAAAGTGTGCATTCCTAACACTGGCCCGTGAATGGAATAACATTGACATATTCCGTA